AGCTTTAAGACACGCGGTGCAATTGTCCGCTAGCGCTTCGCTTTTGCGTTTGGCGGGGCCGTTAGGATGTGTTGCGGATATTTTCCCCGGAAAGAAGGAACTCTGCAAAAGAGGCCAGAGGCCGACAACACTCCGGTTAAGGCATCGAGAGAGAGCATCACAATGCCGAAACTCATGTGAGAGAGATCGCATGGGGCATATGGGTTTCAGATGGGCAATCGCAAGAGAGTCGCAAGAGGTCGAGAGCCAACGACACAGGACTTTTGGCTCTATGCAGCAAAAAGTCGGGAATAGAGCATTTGCATTTGCAGATTTCGAGCTGGCAAATGCAACCCCAGCTTTCGCGGTGAGTTAATGACTGGTCGATGAAGAGGTTACAGAAACCATGGAGCCGAGGGTCAAAGGGTCTATACCAAGAAGACAAGTTACATTAGAAGTTCAATTATAAGGCAAGTCGAGGGAGCGCGCACTCGTGGGGAGGGGAGGGGAGGGGAGGGGAGGGTATGGGATCCGGATGAAGGGAATTCTATTCATGCACTCGTGGGCAGCATAAATGTATCTTATCAAGATGCACTCGTGGGGAGATTGGGGAGATTGGGGAGATTGGCACTGTGGAGGCCACTCGTGGGGGCAGGAGCAGGAAGGAAGCAATGGATCATGGCAAAATAGCCGATGCCTGTGACGCCTTGAACTTAAAATATATTCGCTCGACAAAATGGGATGGATCGCAGCGTCCGCTTGGGTCAGCTGTGGGTTCTGAAGATGCTATTCCGAAGCCTCCCCGAGCATGAATGGAACTGAGCCCGCGATCATGTGCAGCAATGGGCTGCATAGCATGTCGTATTACGATGATTGATTGGGCTGGTCCCAAAGTCAACTACAAGCTGCTGCCCTGCGTGTGACGTGATCGTCGTTTGCCAAGCGGAGCCCTGGCATCTCGTGTAGGGTATAGTCAAAGACACAAATATAATATTCTATGCTTGCACGCCCACGCATACACACAAGCGGCGAGCTCCTTCTGAAGGAGAGACACACACAGTACCTCGAAGGCAGCAGAGCTGCTGAGTCTGCTGACGCCGGATCTATATTCTCCCCCTTAGGCTACGATATGTCCGAAACGAACGAAGATGGGTGACATCACAACCGAACTTCACTGCATTCGTGTGATGAGTCGCAACTTGCCCCTTATTGGTGGTGGGGCTTCCCTGGGCACCTGGATGCCCTCGGTGAATCATCAGGTCTCTCTCAGCTATGGCTTCTTTTTCTTCGCCCTTTCCTTGTACGGTCTTCTCAGGCTGGCAGCTATGGCTGGCCCTCCTCCGGCCCTTCTGGCCCTTTTTCTCAGCCACCTCCCCTCCCGAATGGCTTCAGGAGTTTACTAGATCGTGACTTTGTAGTCCAACTATTGACTCCGCCCTCCACTATGTTCAAGTTCATTGGATCCCCGAGCATGTCAATCCACGTGTGCAGAGGTGTATAGAGGCATTGATACTGTGTTGGCGAAAATGTATCCCGCATCGTTTCGTAGCGTATCGCATGAGCATTTGTGTACTTCGTGGCGCTTCGGAGCTTGTATGGCGCCCAGGAGTGAATGTCAGCGTCGCGCTGCTTCTCTTCTCCCTTCGCTGTGCCGTATCGCCGGTCTTGGCAGGTCGGAGCCAGTCACTGGAGGGAGGGATCGTCGAGTAAATTTACTAAATGTTACTAAATGTTAAGATTGGGTAAACTCTCCATAATGCAATGCCATGCCATGCAGTGGAAACATTCAGGTGAAGCTGGTGCGGGGGGAACTATCGCCATCGATTTCCAGTTCAGATCCGCCGATATCACTTGGAAAAGATGGTCTCATGATGAGTTCTAGAATATGCGTAATCTGACCCCATGTCTTGCTAGTTGCCAGCGCGTTCTTCACGGTTAATGTCACTCGAGGACGGGAAACTCTTCACCACCATTCTCTTCACGCATACAAATGACAGTTTGAAAATCGGAGGGGTAATAAATATGTTTCATTTCTTCTAACCCGAAGGTCGGTTGTGGCGGAATGTGCTCCTTAATAAAATCCCCTCTTAGATGTGATTTGTTAAATACATTTATTCGGTCTTAACAAAAAACCCTCAAACTATGGCAAAACTTTCTGCTAGAAATCTATATTCATAAAAACGTTTCCTTAAAAACCTTTACGTTAAAAACGTTAGCCTTAAAGAACCAACTCATATCTATCAAGAAAAATTATGGTTATAATTCTTCGGATGTCATAAGATGTCAGCTTCGGATTTGATATCACATTGAACTTCAGGCGAATCAGGAGAAAAATCACAGTGACCAGAACAGATAGAAGGAACTTACACCAGAGAGTTAATCATAGAGTCAAAGACATGGGGTGCTCGATTGATAGAGAAATAGATACAGCCGATCCAAAGTTGCATGCAGAAGGATGGTGGATGGATTCTCCTCTTGGTCCTTCTCCTCAAGGTAGGGAAGGAAATTGGCATGAAAACCCTGGCGGAGGAACCTTGCATAGTGCTCAGCTGGCAAGTGGGAGCCCTCTGGAGCACAGAGGTGGGGCTTGGGCAAGCGGGGTTGGGGTTACTATGGGACTGATAAAGAGGGTCTGCACGAGGGGATGCGGCTTGATACTCCATGTGAGATGTATGATGGTTGAAGCACAGCCTACTTGCAAAGGATGGGCTCCACTTTGGATTTCAGAGGACATACTTTGCGAATCCATGTTGCTGAAGCAAGATGGCAAGATGCCTGCGGAGTTGCAATCCGATGGATGCGAGTTTGATCTCAAGCAGCCATCGGCCCTGTCCCATGTGCTTGTTGTAGAGAGCTTTTTTGGGATATTCATGGTTAAGGCTTCGAACAAAGTTGGGCAGATAAGCATCTTAGAGCGCTGACTCTCTAGAAAAGTTCAACCTGTACAGTGGGGAATAATTTGCCCGGCTGTGCTAGTAGAGCCAGAGTGTCCATTCGCCATAATCTGTTTCACTTCTCTCTCTCTCTCTCTCTCTCTCTCTCTCTCTTTCCTCCTATAGTCGGATAATCTTTCTCATCTAGGTTAGATCCAAAGCCCGATAGTCACGTCTACACACGAGGGGAACAGGATCAATCAGGTCTCAGTCCATCGTCGTCCACAGTGGCGATTTTCGGGAAATACCATCCAAAAATATGCTATGGATGGCCTTTTCATCTGTCTCCAAACCATGAATCATTGCGTGACTTGTGCTAGAAACATGTCCAAGCCGCACGAGCCTTGAAGCCAGTTCGCCATGCTGCTTGAAAGTCTGACTCTACTACCGACAGATCGCACACTTCATATTCATGTGGCTGGCCCGACTATGCCCCACTTGCGATCAAAAACAGCACAGTCACACTTCTTCGCATCGATGCATGGAACATATGAGAGAGAGAGAGAGAGAGAGAGAGAGAGAGAGGGGTAAATGGGATACAATGTTGGATGTTCTTCGCATATCGGAAATGCAAAGCAGATCTGGAGATGCGGAAGGTCTCGCCAGATGGTGGAAAGGTCTGCATACATGAGCGAAAAGGGGACAGATCTGCAGATTCACACATGTTACTATCATAAAAGGCCATTGTTCCTGCAGAAGACATGCCAGGAGTCGAAGAATACTTGTCATGTGCTGCGAATAAGAAGGACTTTGCAACTTTGTTCCTTTGTTCCCCGCTCACCTGACATGGCTTTCTCTTGTCTTCCACACTTTGCGGAATGTCCCTTCCACAAACTTATTCTATTTGATTTCCTTGTGGTTTCGCTTCTAATAATTTGTTTCACTTCATTCGTCCCTTCAAGTAGAATCATTCTTCTATGCCCTGGAGGCTAGACGTATATAAATAAGGCAGAAGGATGAAATTTCAGACACGACGTTCCATTTTGTCTAATGGAAGTTCATAAAGAAATAGTGCAATGAATATCAATGGCTTCCGTTTTTTGTTAAGAGTATAACTAGAGCTCAAATTCAGCATGATGACTCGTCGATGCTACATCCAACTCTTTCCTAGGACATTGGTGAATTGTTATGTCTTCGAAACTCCAACATTAGAACCCAAAGCATCCACATAAATGCGTTCACACGAGCACCTACGGCGTCCAACCCTGTTGAATCGACTTTGGATTCAAGAAAAGATTCACGAATGCGAATCTTTCCTTCAGCTTCTCTCGCCACTTTTCGTTTCACTATTATAAAAGTAAACGACCAACCGGGTTTCGCCCATTCCTACCCAGCTGCCATGTGGCAAATATCCAAGTGTTTGACAAGCAACTTTGCTTTATGGGCACGGACATTTAGCCCATACAAAACCGACAACTCGATTGTTTGATCCGCCCACGAAACAAATCTGTCCTCCTTACAAACTTTCAAATATCAGATGAGATGAGATGAGATGAGATGAGCTGAGACGAGACTGAGCAGCCAAAGTGTGCTTGGGCGAGTCTACTATTTGGGCAGAGAATTCGTAGGAAGTGAGAACTAAGAAGCGTCACGGAGATTATGGCGAGCTCGGAACATGCTGTGTCGCCTGGGTAGATGTGTAGAGGTCAGAGGATAGGGATTCCAATCACTGAAAATCGTCTCTTGAGAATGAAACGCATCAGCAAGTGAGAGAGAGACGTAGGCGTCAAGTTCAGGCCATGGCTGGATGGCGACGTGTGTCTGACTTGTCAAGCTGCCATACGCATTATAAGGTTCGGAGTACGTAGCTCGAGAAGCGGTCAAAGCTCGTCCTGAATAATCTGACCGTACAGGTCCGTCGGGAGGGTCGTGCGGTGGACGTCGTCAGTCGCAGTCGCCAAGCCCACGGACTCGTCGATTACAGTAGAAGGTTCACGGAATCCAGCGTTCGTGTATGTATGTCTCAGCGAAACGCGTCGTGAATGACGCAGAAAGTGTGGTCACGAAGGCCGATCATCATTTGCAATGGCATGAAAAAGAGCACGCACCATTCCATTGAGAGCGAGAGATGTCGACAGTTGCATAATTGTCCTTGCGAGGCACCCTGAATCAATCAACGTCATGTTGAATTTTGAGCACTCTCTTCCAGCAACTGATGGATCTACGGAAAGTATTGGAGAGGCATCAGCAGCAGCTGCAGCTGCATGTAAAAGAAACGCCTTTTTCGCGGGAGGTGACATTGCTAGGGACACACGAGGTGATGGAATGAGTTAGGAGCCGAGATTCGAACCAAGCCAGGACACACAAGTCTACATACAAGACTATGTCATCTTTTTCATTATCATCACAATGAGCATGTTCCAGCTTGATAACGTGAGAACAGCCAGCAGCCTTCAAGCCTTGAAGCCTTCAGCTCATAAATTGGTTGCCGACCTTCAAACTTCCAAAAGGATGTGCTCAAAATCTGCAAGAGTCCGAGCTCCTGATGATGAGATCCGCAATTTATGGTAGGGAAAGCAAAGCCGCTTTTTGGCCATGGCAAAACGACGGCTAAACCACTCGCTAAGTGCGACGACTCGAGGCGAACTGCGACTCGAGACAAGTATTCTCTGCGAATCAGAACAGATTCGCCGAGAGGCCAACTCTGGTCGCTGCAAAAGTAGCATGCGCGAGGAGCTTTGGATCGAGGGGCACCTGCTCTCATAATTCTCAGATTCTCAGTAGATAGCCCTCCGCGTCCTAGCAAAAGGCTGCTCTAACTAAACTGCCAAGTTGTCGCCTTTCATGTCCTCCTCTGCCTTTCCGAAAGCTCCACGCAAAGCAGGCGATGCTAGGCGAGGCGAGGCGCAGGACTCGGACGCACGCACGAGGGCAGCCAACGTCGTGACGGGAGGTAGACTGTGTCCTCGCGTCAGGGTCGAGACATGTAGATCGACGGATGGATAGAGTGAGTACATGTACAACTCGCGATCGAAGAGGATGCCCGACCCCGATCCCGACCCCAACTTCACTTCGGGTCAAACATGTGTGTGTGTGGTCGTGCTGTCTGGTCGGCTCGGGAAGAGAGTGAGTTGGAGTGAAGTAAGTTGAAGGGAGGAGGAGGAGGAGGAGGAGGGCGATGGGAGAGGGAACCGAGTTCGACTCAATCGAGTGCCGGGCTAGAGGCTACAGGGGGGAGGGCTTGCAAAGCAGCAGCAGCGGCAGAAGCAGCTGTGGACCATGTGCGACTACGACTCTTCTCGCTACAAACACTAAATGTCACTCGGGGTTGCTCCTGGGTCCCGTGTCTTTAGGCCCACTCGAGTGACTTTCTTTGATGGTGGACCCCGATTAGTAATACGGTCAGAATGTACTCATGAGGTCGTACTTCGCGGGTGGAAAAGTGCATCGATTCCTCTTCGCTGCGAGAGCGCAACTCATATAAAGATGGTGCGCGATTACCTCTAACTGTATCATGGCGTTCTTTTCCTTTGATGCTCGATGCAGCTCGATGGGCGATGCTGGCGATTTCGAACAACCGCGAAAGGTGCTGGGGAATAAAAGTTAAAGCCTCGCTCGCGGCTACTACAAGTAGCACATGGATGTTTCTATCAGCCTATCTTTGTCTCACGTCGATCGAGCCCATGCTCCGGGGCAATATTTTCTTCATCTTATGCATGGTGGGGACCCGAACTACGAAAGCGAAAGGGTGCTTATCACCTCTAATGTCTTTCTCATGGGTGCGAGTTGTCGCATCAACTTTGTGTCGAACGAGGACTTTGGTCTTCGACCGCTAGCTCAAAACAATCGACCTATGGAAAGAAAGTGCGAGGTGGACAAGAACTGCGAGCTGGCCGACTGATCTTACTTTTCTTTCGAGTTTGTACTTATCATGCGCCTCCACCACGACGAAGCTGTCAAGAGCGAGCTACATGTAGACTTTCATTCTGAACAATATATCATGTTTGTTGGTTTCCACATGATCTCGCTTAATCCTTTACAGCCAATCTGCATGATGCATATCGGTGCCCAATTTATGTCCAAAAAGCACTCGACATCGAGAATGTTGATAAGCTCACAAGCTTGTCCTATCTCTGAGATTACGAAAAAATAACCTGCAGAAATAAAGAGCTTAGACGCGAAAAGATGTGGATACCAGAGAACAATTTTCGCGTTTGAGGTCCAGGACAGTCAGTTAGTTGCTTGTTCTGTAGACCCCATGAGGAACTCATAACGAACTTGCCTTTGGGTACCGCCGGCCGGGGCAGCGAAAGAAGTTCCTCGTTAGAAAAAGATGCTTCTATTCCTCCACAATTGTCTTCATAGAGCATTGGGTTGCACTCATATCAGATTCCTCATGAATCTGGCAGAGTCGCGCTTTACCTGCAGTGCTCTGCAGGTGGATTCTCCTCACCCGCCATGCCAATCGAGTATCCATCCTTGTATAAACTCACGGCAGCATTCTTCTTAACACTTCTCTTCCATCCTCACCCCGCCTCCCCGTTCCAGATGGGTTTCTGTCATACAAGTTTGTCGTATCTTACATCGATCCTCCCAAATTGCAATGACGATAGGATGATTGAGTTTCCGTCTGGCCTTATCTCGCCCACATATGTGCACAAAATTGCAGACTTTTGACATATGCGTTGATAATAATCATCTCCTGAGATGATGATAACTAACTTTAATTTATTTCCCTCTGACCGGATGGGCCACTACGGCTGGGCGGCCGTCGAGGTCGTCAAATGATCAACTTGTGGTTCTCATGCCCAGGTGGATTTTCCGTTAGAAGAGTATGTCATTCATTGTCAATGCATATACGGTACACACGATTTGGCAGACGTCGCTCCCTCACGAAGTCCATCCTCTTTCAAAGTACGGCACACCATTAAGCCAGAGAATGGGGAACATGACGAACACTGCAGAAATTACAACGACGCAACTGTGGCGGGCAAGAGGAGGGGAAGGATCGAGCGAGCATGTTGCCATCTATGGCTGTTGTTATTACTTCCCCTTCTCACTGACTTACAACTGTCCTGCATAAGCTGCCAATTCAGATATTGAGTCCAATCTGAGAAGAAGAAGGAGTCATTATCTGTGTCGATATCAGATGTCGCATTCATTCAGATATTGACTCCCGGGCATGGAGGAAAAGACCTTTCCAGAGCACAAAGAGTGCGAGAGAGAGAGATTGAGAGAGACAGCCGCTAGAGTAGGCAGGGGCACCCTTGCACACCCTGTTGTACATTCGCAGAATCCGCGCCAGGCATGGCATTTGCAGCACACACCCACAGCTGAGGTCAATCTATGCCATGCCCTGCCCAGCCCAGCCCAGCCCAAAGCCTGGTGCACTTTACGAATACCGTATTCTCTTCCTCCATTATCGTACGATGTACTTGTGTCCAGACAGAAGGCTGTCTGTTACCTCCGTTGTGGTAGCAGTCCCAGTCCTGTACTTCTTCGTCCTCGATCGCCATCCATGGCAGAGGCAGGAAGAGTGGAGAGTAGAGAGTGGAGAGTGGGGAGGCGACAACCAGAGGTGGGAAAACTGAACCCCAAGCAGGTCTGCTCGTCCTCCACCTCCACCTCCACCACCACCACGGTCTGCGGTGCGTGCTGGGTCAACGGCGAGTCTGGTTTGGTCAGATCAGGTTGCGCTGTAGTAAATTCTCGTGGCCCAGTTGATCGTCTCCTTGGGCAATTGTCTCGGGCCTTCACTCATGAACGTGATGGACACCGAGAGCAGAGCAGAGGAGAGGGGGGAAAACAAAATGACTTCTCCATGAATGAATAAATGACTGAACGATTGCATCAATGCGAAAAGAGTAAAAACGGGATGCTCTGGATGCCCATGGCCTCAGTGGAGGCGAGTTAAGAGCACTCACTCGGCTCTCGACCTTTTGGCTGTTATTAGACTCTGGCGGGGGTGGGGGGCCATTGGCGGGCGGTACTTTGTCGCTACCGCGGCGCACGGAGCATCCTGCGTCTGCGTCGGGAGGGAACGGACTCGACGACGGAGACCGCGGACGTTGACCCACGACTCACGTCGAGAAAGGACGAGAAAGGAAGGTACGGTCGAGCCGCATCCGTTCGGCTGCGAACGGAAGTCGCGGCGGTGGCGGAGGGACGGACGGACGGAGGATTGGAGGGAGGGGAGAGGAGGGGTTCTCCTAAGGGGCCAGGGGCTGACTAACTTGAAAGGGTCGGGGTCGCGGTCCGGGGCAAGTTGGGCAGGGGGAACAGTGGATTCAGTGCCAACGCCGTCGTTTGCTGAGGAGACGGAAAGGACGTCGTCACGTTCGGCCCACCATCGCCACACAGCGCACGAGCGACGCGCAGTAATTTCGCCGAAGCCCGATTTGACCCACGTAATTGTTCAAACCTCGCTCGTCGCACCGATGCCTTGAGCTCGGCGGATCGGGTCGGGTCGGGTCGGGGCGGGGCGGGGCGGGTCGTGTGACATGTGGGCGCCCGGGGACGCAGACAAAGCAAGCGAAGTGATTTCTGTGTCTCTGTCTCTCCGATCCGTATCAACCTCTCTCCTCCGCCCGTAGCCCGTAGCCCGTAGCCCGGTCAAATCGCGGTCAAACACACACTCTGCTGCTGCTGCTGCTGAGGATCCAGCTTTTTACTGGAGTATTATTCAATGGCGAAGCTGCGGGCAGTGAGTGAGGACGTGAGGGCAGGGGTGGAAGGGGAAATGTTTGGGTGGGGGGGAGATGAGAGCTCTGGTGCAGTGCAGTGCAGTGCAGGACATAGGAGTCGGAAACAGTGAGAGAGAGAGAGAGAGAGAGAGAGAGAGAGATCTCGAGAAGCGGAGCGTTGTCGATCGCGGATGCTGTTCGCAGGTCAAGCTGGAGCTGGAAGCTGGAAGCTGTTCGCTTTCGCTTTTCGCAGCACGGTTCAGATAGATTGCGCACGTTAATCTAAAACGGGGTAGTTTTCGTGCTGTCGCACAGCGGACTACGCCTATTGCGCCTACTGGCGTCCCCGGTTCGTCGGCTGCTTCATGGTCCCCATGCCCATCTCTCTGTTTTACCCTTCCCTCGCTCTCCCTCTCCATCCATCTCCCCCCCACTCCACCCAAACCTCCCGCCGGAAGTGAGCGCCAGCAGCAGCAGCCTCCTCCCGTCATCCCTCTCCGTCAGTCTATATTAGCCAACATTCCCTCGTCCGTCATTGAATTCGACCCACTGTCTTCCCCTTCGCACTCCACCCTCGCAGCAGCCTCGCATATCCTGCTCCCGGTCGCTTGCTCCACGCTCTTCGTCTCGTTCAGAGAGAGAGAGAGAGAGAGAGAGAGAGAGAGATTGCCCGGTGCGGTTGATTGGTCGGTAGGTCGGTTGTGGTGGTGGGTTGCGTACGAACGAATTCGTTGACAATCCTGGAAATGAAATTTGTTGGTCAAAGAACAAAAGGGATTGATTGTGACGGGTAAACGAAGGCGACGAGTGGAGAACGGAGAAAGGAGAGACGGATTAGCAGCAGCAGCAGCACCGTAATGTTTAGAGCGTGTGTGTACACCGGTGCGGCTCACTGAGTGAGTGAGAGAGAGCGGCACGAAGTTGGAGTGGGAGTGTCAGCGAAGTCCAGGATCGGAAGAAAGTAATGTAGGAATGCGGGTCCCGTCGCTCTCCGTCTTATCGCAAGCGGTGCAAATCGGTGAAGAGCCTGCGAACCGGGCCACGACGCACAGGCAGACAAGCATTAAATGCGTCGTCGAAGGTGATGACGATGAAGCGGGGAGATAATCCGACCACATCATTCAGGAGCAAATGGAGCGAATCGATTTAGTGATAGCGGAACTCACAGTCGGACGATAGCGCAAGGGAAGCTAGAGAGGAGGAGAGAGTAGTGAGAAAAATAGAGACAGAGAGGTCGGCATCACGAATGCAGCAAAAGAGTATCAGTGATCACCAACTTCCTCACCACCATCATAGTAGAAAGGATCATGGCGAGTGCTGGTATACATCTCCCAGAGATTGCCAATTTACATGGCTTTAGATTAGTGTCTCTGGAAGAGAAATCAGGCCCAGGTACCACCACCAGCTTGCCGAAGAATCGACAACCACATCTGGAGCCGTGTCGTCGTCATTGGATTCATGTCATCTTCGCCCTCCTCCTTTTGGTCCGTCACTCGTCTGCCCAGAACCGTGAGATCGATGGAGTACCTGAAGGAGGGATAATTTCTCCCGCTATGAGACGATTTCTCGCCGGTACTCTTCCTAACCTCATGCGGCCACTTGCCACTTGCCACTTGCCTCTCGCTTCTCTCGTCTCTCTTCCAGCTCCCAAACCTCATCCTCCTCCTCCTACTCCTCCTACTCCTGCTCCTGTCTCACCCCGTCGCTCCCGCACACGTTTGCAGCACCTCAGTGTCAGAAGTCGTACCTTTGGTGCTTGTCTCCCAGACACGGGAGGTGGTCTCAGAGCAACCGACTACCTCTGACTCTCGGTGTGGTGAATTGTCATTCAATCGTCCTAGAAATTCGAGCCTCTATGGCAAGCATGCCTCGTTGTGGCCTTGTTGGGCGGACGACATTTGATTTGCGACTTTGATTCTCGTTCTTGGAATATGCTTGTTGTGGATGTCGGGCTGGGTCTGTGTGCAAGTGCTCGTGTGCGTGCGTGTGGGGTGGGGAGAAGTCGGGGGATTGCACCCGAGGAGTCGGTGTGACGGGGATGTCGATGGGCATGTGGTGCAGATCCTACGATTTCTCCCGCTTTGCAACTGGATCGAGCTGTTCTTTTAGACTGGAGGGCGCAATGGTTGGGCTACGCGGCTCAGAATGTCAATGCCACCGCTTGGCTGCAGAAATGGAACGAGAAAGACCTGACTCCTTGCAATTGGGATGGAATTACGTGTGAGATGTTCGAGGAGCAGTTGCGCGTGACAGTCATCAACTTCACAAGCAAACAGCTCAAGGGAGTTCTTCCTGCGACCGGGTACTCGAATCTGACTGCCGTGCGATCGCTCATCATAGCCATCAACGACATCAATGGAACTATTCCCAAGGACCTCGGGGAGATGCCGAATCTGCAAATTCTGGACCTCGCGCAAAATCGGCTGCAGGGAGGAATCCCCGATGAATTCGGCGACTTGCTGGAGCACTTGGTGTCGCTGAATGTGTCAGTGAACAATATCTCGCAGCCTCTGCCCGCAATGCTCTTCTCGAGCTGCGCCATTCTGCACACGCTCAATTTCTCTCGCAACATCATCGGCGGGGGACTGCCGCACATAGGCAATTGCCACCAGCTGGAGTACATCGACCTCTGGAAGAACCACATGGTGGGTGCAATTCCCATCGAGCTGGGTCAGCTGCCGAGCTTGAAAAAGCTCGTTCTCTCGGAGAACTACATCGGGGGTCCCATCCCTCACCAGCTGTTCGAGAGCTGCAAGAGCCTGCAAATCGTGCAGCTGGCGCGAATGTTTCTGGACGGGCCCTTGCCTTTGGAGCTCTTCACATGCCCGCTGCTGACGATCGTCAACATCCAGAGCAACAACTTGTCGGGCTCCCTCCCGCACGAAGTCGGCCAGCTCACGAATCTCGTCACTCTCGCTCTGGGCAACAACAGCCTGGGCGGGCCCCTGCCGGAAGAGCTCGGAGCACTGGCCAATTTGAAGTACGTGGATTTCAGCCTGAACCAATTCGAAGGCACCGTCCCGCCTGCCTACAGCGGGCTGCAAAGCCTCCGATACCTCGCGCTGCAGGAGAACAGCCTGACGGGCCCGTTCCCCGACGTGCTGACTGGCCTCCCGCAGCTGCGCCTGCTGGACCTCAGCAACAACAAAATGGTGGGGGACATTCCTGCAGCCATCTTCAATGTCACCACGCTCACGTCGCTGCTGCTGGCAGTGAACAATTTCACCGGCAGCATTTCACCCGACGTGGGAAACCTGGTGAATCTGCAAGTGCTGGACCTGTCGGCCAATTCGCTCACGGGGAGCATTCCGCCGACGATAGGCAACCTGAAGCAGCTGTTGTGGCTGCAGCTCTCCAACAATAAGTTCTCGGGCTCGCTGCCCGAGGAGATGGGCAATTGCAGCAGCCTGATCTGGCTCAACCTCGGGTGGAACGAGTTCTCGGGGCCAATTCCGGACTCGTTCGAGTTCATCGGCAGCACGGCCTTGGCCACATTCCGCTACAACTGGGTCAATTTGCCACTGATTCCTGCGGAGATGGGTGAGTGCGGGGCGCTGGAGCGATGGCTGCCGGGAGATTACGCGCCCTACAGCTTCCTGGTCTCGGATCTGGCTCAGCAGGGGCGCCAGTGCCGAGTGTGGTGGAACCTGCTGCTCAAGGGCCAGCTGCATCCGGCGGAATTGGACACGCCCCTGGCCTACATGCAGCTCTCGTACAATCGATTCAGCGGCTCGCTGCCGAACCGAGTCGGCCAGCACGGAGATTTCTCGATTCTCTTCCTGGACCACAATCAGTTCACGGGCCCAATTCCGGACCTGCTCGACGAGCTGCCTCTTTACAATGCCAATTTCTCGCACAACCATTTCAATGGCACGGTGCCGGAGTCGCTGGGATTCATCAAGCAGCTGTTGAGTCTGGACCTGTCTTACAACGATCTGAGTGGGAAGCTGCCCCCGAGCTTGGGCAATTTGACATTTCTGGACAGATTCAACATCTCGTACAATAATTTGTCGGGCCCCGTGCCGCTGGTGCACCAATTCGCCACATTCCCCTTCAGTGTCTATGCAGGCAATCCCGGCCTGTGCTACGACGGCAGCCCCTACGCCAGCACGTCGACCAAGTCGCAAATTCTGCCGCTGTGCGGTGAGCTCGACTCGGGGCCGTCCTTGGGGCCGCGCTACCGCAGCGGCAAGGACGGGCTGAGCCCGGCCACCATTCTGGGCATCAGCATCGTGAGCACTCTGCTGGTGCTGATCGTGGTCGGAATCGCCTGCTACGCATCGACCCGCAGGACGTACGTGCGCAACGAGAATGGCGCGACGTCCCCTGACTCGAGGTTCACCAAGGTGGGCAGGGACCGATTCCACTCGAGCCGCGACTTGCTCAAGATTCCCGTGTCGTCCTTCGGCACCGACTCGCTGCCCAAGGCGCTGGCCTATGTCGATCTGCTGGTGGCCACCAACAATTTCGACGACGCCAACATCATCGGGGATGGAGGATTCGGGGTGGTGTACAAGGCCAAGCTCGAGGACGGGTCCGTGGTGGCCATTAAGAAGCTGATCCAAGACGGGGCGCAGGGCGAGCGCGAGTTCGCAGCCGAGATGTTGACGCTGGGCAACATCCGGCATGACAATCTCGTGACGCTGCTGGGCTATTGCGCCAGCGAGCGCGAGAAGCTGCTGCTGTACAAGTGCATGACCAATGGCAGCCTGGACGAGTGGCTGCACGAACGCCCCGGCGGCAGAGAGGTGCTCAGCTGGTCGAAGCGGCTCAACATTGCGGCTGGTGCTGCCCGAGGCCTGGCCTTCCTGCACCATAGCTGCGCCCCGGTGATCATCCACCGCGACATGAAGGCCAGCAACATTCTGCTGGACGACGATTACAATGCCTGCGTGACGGATTTCGGGCTGGCCCGGAGGATGTATGGGCAGGACACTCACGTGAGCACCATCGTCGCGGGGACGCTGGGCTACGTCCCGCCCGAGTACAGCCAGACCTGGAGGTCGACCACCAAGGGCGATGTGTACAGCTTCGGGGTGGTGCTGCTCGAGCTGATCACTGGCAAGCGGCCCACGGGGATCGATTACGACGACGAGAGCGGAATGTACACCGGGGGCAATCTGGTGGAGTGGGTTCGCCATCTGCTGGCCAACCGACGGCACGAGGAGGCCTACGATCCCATCATCAAGAACTCCGGAGCGACGCAGGAGCTCTTCCAGTTTCTGAAGCTGGCCGTGGTGTGCACGGAGGACATTCCTTCCAATCGGCCGGCCATGAACGATGTCACGAGGGCGCTGGACCAAATCCAGATTTCGCACAACATCCGCTCTCCGGCGGCGGCGTTCCTATGAGCGTGGGGAGAGCTCGGAAGGCCTCTTCCACCATGATTGATTCAATTTTGCAGCTTTACATTCATGTCTTGGTCGCCCCTTTTTACATAGAATGATCAGATAGAGAGCTTCTCCACAATTTGGGTGAGCTTGGGCCTATTGCAACCATACGTAGGAGCCTCTGCCTCTCGTCCCCATCACCGCATCCTCCCTGCCCCTTCCACCACTCCGCCATTCAATTCAGAGTCTCTCGCTGTGTGGTATGCGAAATTTCACGGTGAAGTCGGGCCAGTTGTTCCATCAGCATGCACAGAGCCCAAAAGCTTAGATTGTTCCTAGAAGATTGTACACTGATAGCAAACCAAACCCACTGGGCTGAGTGCAAGTCTCCGGCACCCACCCCTTAACTGCACATTGTAAATCTTATTCATGTCACATACAACAGATCATCATCGTGTTCAAACATTTGCAATCTCAGAAATCAATCTGTGGGTTGGATTCATACTCTTCAAGGTCAGCATCATTAGTGGAGTCTCTGCTTCTTTGAGTACCTCAGGACTTGTTCATTTGTCATTAGGAGTCTCTCCTTTTCATGAGAATAGTGATGTCTGTCTTCCTTCTTGCTTCCTCTGTTTGTCACTACACAAACGGATACTAGGCAGTGACAGGAACTGACGGACCTAGCGGCAGGATCATGTGCACCGCTTCGAATGTGATCTTGTTCGGGTCAGTTCATTTGCCTTCGACTGGGCGGTGTTGAAGTATCAGCAGTGAAGGGGTCTGCGAGTCTCGTGAATGTGGGCGGCTCCCCCATCAATTTCCATCACGTGACACAATAGAATCAGGCAAAAGCTCCTCAGGCTCTCCTATAAAAATCTACAAACATTTTACCGTTCAAAAGTAGTGGAGAGTGCATCTCAATTTCAGTGTTATCTTTTATCCTGCGTGTTTATCCTGTTTGTCCTTTGAGTGGAGCCTCGATCATGTAATTGAGGTTCCATGGAACCTCAATTCATGCATAGATCCTTCCTGATGAGCTAGTAGTTTGAATGACTAACAATCGATGAGCGCTTACAGCCCAGAGAGTAGCCCTGTACGGTCATTCGAACCTTGTGTCAAAATTGAATAAAACTTCAGTTCTATGCCGAGCACCTGGTTCAAAAAACTGCCCACTGAAGGGATTTTCGTTATTGGGCTGTCACAAGACGGCCAAGTAGGATCCAGACGCCTCGAGCTGTACGATAACCAGTCTATCCTTGAAGAGTGAGGCCACAGACAATTTCACATCATTGTCTTATCCAGACCGAGTCATTTCCAGACTAAGACCTATCTGGTAATTTGGCTTTGCTCAAAGCGAAGATTGTCAATTCCGATGGGCCTGAAGGTTACCCACCCTAACATTCGTTTCAATCACTCACCGGTTCGTCTCGATGGTATACAATATAAACCTTGAAGGTAGGGTCGAATAGTTAACTTCTCTCCGACTATGATGGTTGGAATTCTACTGTCTCGAGAAAATATCCGAGGCGAAACGTTTGCTAAAGAACTCGTTCCCTTTACCTTTACGTCATATCTGGTGCTCGTCCTCTATCCACTTTTGAAGTCCGATGGAACAATGCATAGTTGAGTCTCAAACAATCAAGGTGTCGATATCTAAGAAATGCGGGCCAATCTAGGGATGATAACTGGCACTATTGCTTTCCATGTACACAATCTTCCAGCCTTCTACCCTGCAGTGAGAATAAATAAAGGCAGGAAGGTGCATCCTTTCTTTGAAAGGCGAAGGTGAAAGGCATACTAAGGTGCAAAATGAAGGTGCATCTTTTCTTTGAAGTTCTCCATTCAAAGAAAATATACACCTCAAAGTTCATACTCCCGCTCACAATCTGCAGTAATGATTATTGGTTAAACATACAGCATCGATTTTTTTTTTACATTTTATTCTATTGGAAAGTTAACTCTGCCGAGAGAGAGACACGGATTCCTAAGAAACAATGTATGTTGGAAGTGTGTCAGAAAGAAATTTTAATTTACCAAAAACAGGATGCAGAAATGAGCAAGCTTTTGCACTTCGTAGGCTTACTCAGTCGAATCTTAGAGCTTCTGTATACTCTGGACATCTTCTGTTCATGCTACTTGACTTGATATTTGTACTCGACTTGAGACCGAAATTCCCCAGGGCCTGGACATGCTTGCCTGATCAGTCTGCTGCGGGTTAAAAGTTTGCGCAGTGGAGGCATTTAATTCTTCAGTTGTCCTCTCTGCTTTACAGTTGTGGGACATATTGGGGCAGAATGCTGGACAGGACATCGTCAGATTCAGCTCGTCAGAACTGGTCTTCTTGAGCTCAGATTGGACAAGCACAGTATCAGGTGGAAGGCGTCGGGAGAAGAGTCACAACTTTCGAGATATAAGATTTTGTTATTTGTTTCGATATCATAGGGATTTGGGGTCATAGCCTGGTCATGTAAAGTTATTTTCACTTTTATTTACACTGTAATGCGACCGAATGCATGAAAAGAGAGTTTGGCACTCGAGTAAATTATTCATGCATTACAATTCCATACAAGCATTACATAAAAAAATGGTTTTTTTCACTCAATTTTTATTCTTGACTTTTTGTGACACTAATGAGATTTATGGAGACATATATTAGTGAATCTGTTGCTACGGGGACTTGATTGACTTGACACTCTTGAGAATTATTTAGTGATGTGATGGTGAATTTGTAAGTACGGGGATATCATTTATTTCACTAATATTTGAGAATAGGGTGTGACGTTTCTTGTCTTGAAATGGTCGTATTCTTGCTTAGGTATATGTGTCCCCATAGTTAAAAAATTATGGACATCAATATAAATAAACTTAGACCTTAGGTAGTTGTTGATCCATATATGAGTTTGGGTACTAAAAAAATAATGGTTTTGCAAGCGTTCATATATACAGTTCGTTCTCTTTGTGTCAAGTATAGTAATGTTTTTTAAGGTGCGTTTAGAATGGCATGTGATTTATCATGATTGATGTTTCATTATACCACTTTGTTGTAAGGAATAATGAACCATGTTTGAAGGATAGACAAAGATTAGAATAGGATTGATTATGATGAACATATGAGGATGTTATCACATCAAATATGTCATGCTTGAGATTATGTAGAGTGCATTCAACTCTTGGTTAATTTTGAATTAATTGATTTGATTGTGAGAATGATTAGCATTCTATTTTAGCTATTTATGGTTTTTTAAATTTCTTTTTTACTACATAAACTATTTCATGCACTTTATGATGATGCTAGAATTTTTTTTTCTTATCTAGCAAATCTGGTCATGATCATGTTTACGAGAATAGTTTCTATTTCTCTAAGCTCTATGATGGTTTCTATGTTAGATCAGATGAGATGAGGATGTTTTGGACATAAAATCGTGATAACAAGACTGAGAAGATTCAATGCACAAGTTGTCTATTGAAGCGTTGTCTAGTCAGATCACACAAGTTTATATATGAGTATCTTCAAGATTGCATTCACACATGTGATCTCAGCACTAGCTTTATGCAGTTGTTCAATGTGGTTGTATCAATTAAAAGAGGTGAAACTTTGTCAGCTACGGTATATTATTGAAGATACAAGAAACACTAAGTTGAATGTTATTATTATCGTTTTAAAAGATTATTAAATATATCGCGATAGTGCAATATCGTTCTTATTTCCAGAATGATCTCTAATCACACATATTTTAGAATTGCATTAGCAATTGATGAGAATTCAATCTTTTGACCTTTTAAATAAATCTAGATTATCATCTCTATTAAATTTCCTTGCATGTGGACGTGAATAATAGTTATTAACATTATCTCATACGGATAGTATTTTGATAGAAATATAAAATTTGAAATTTTACAAGAACTCGTGCTAAATCTTCTAATTTTTTTATGACTTAGATTATTTTTTAATCAACATACCTTTCAACATGTGGTAGTCATCATGTTACAATTTGCTCGTAGTACTTAACAAGAACTAAGATATATCTCATGTATATCCTCATACATTCGTCACTGATTATAAAGCTTTCATGTTCAATTTTTGGGTCGTGTTAACTTGTATTTTCCTCGTCCTAGTAAATCATATACTGATTGTGATCATGTTCATCACAGGTCTTTATTTAATTTACTGAATTTGAGCCTAATCTTTAGTATCAATTTATATATATTTTTCTAAAAAAATATAGAAATATATGTATATATTTATATTTAAAAATAATTCTATGTAATCTAAAACATTTCAGTTTCCTTTTTAAAATTTTTCATGTTATCAAAGATACTGCGTTAGAAAATAATATATTTCAAATATATCTCTTAGTAGAAGAGATATACAAATGGCGATATCGTGATACTACACGATAACGTCAAAGGGTGAAAGCGCTGAAGTACTGATATGCCAAAGCGCCAATTAAATTGTCAAATCAGTACCCAAGGTGCAATGACAAATCCGCAAAAGAAGCTGCCGAAATAGCTTAAGTGCCGACTTCAAGGTTCCAAAACACCAGAGAAATGAAAGCTCTTAAAGGATTTAGATACTCCTTAAATAACATTGAAATATATTCAGTATTTACATTTCGAGTATTTCTAGGGCGGGAGTATGTACATCCTTCTTTATTTCCATAATGGCCCTTTTCTATTTTTTTAGTTGTCTACGGTTTATCATATGGCTGGTTCACACATGGAATTATTATCTGTATATCAATTGTTTTCATTGACATCTAATGTAATTATTATGCATGATATCACTATTTATGTGGTGTTTGAAATGAGACAAGAATGTATCTATCTCAAGCAAAGGTATTGTGTATCTAGTTTAGCTCGGAATCAGTATAGTACTATTGCATATCACATACTTATGATATTTACATTAAAAAAATGTTATGGAGTTTGTGATTGAGGACTGTAGAGCGAACAAATATCTCAAGGTAGCATGATGTGCAAAGATATCAACTCTTTATTACTATTGAAGTATATGGAGCAATAGAACTAACTTCAACATGAAAGAATGTGAAAGAGTGAAGAGCATGTCATACAAGGCTCACTCTCCTTAGGTTCTAGTATAAACTTTCTTAGGCAGCCTGTGAACAGTTATCAGCTGGCTGGGTTTTATATGAATGGACAGAACATTGATCTGCTGACTATTTGGCTCTTCCAATAGATCAAACACAACAGCACATGATGTTTCTTACCAACCTCTTGTAAATGTAGACAGTTTGACTAGATATTTAGGATATTTAAGATAAAATAATAAATATTTCTCACCTCGTGAAACTTTGTTTTCAGGCTAGCCTAGATCTTACTCCTACAGTTTCATCTATGTGGCGCTTTGACGGGATCTTCCAATACTTCTTTTTGATCAAGATTGCATCGAAACATCATCATCAAGAGCCCATACTCGCCTCTCTCCCTCTCTGTCTCTCTCTGTATCTACAACTCGGTCTATTTAATCTTCCTTCAATTACGACATCTCTCTAGCCTGGAGAAGAGGATTTTGTTTACATTTTGGACACCACACTTGCAATATCGACAGGACTACATCTAGAAAAGATTATGGGCTGTTATGTTACCTTACTATCATCATTGCTTGCAACGATAGGACCTTGAATAATTCACTTAGTCAATAGGAATAGTAGGAATAGTCATCTACTTCTTGGATCGGAGTGGTAGAAATACAGTAGCCCGATTGGCAAAAGAAATAGCGGTATCTGCAGCTACTGTACTGAATCTCATGTGCTTGAGCACTTTTGGACAGTTGTAGCTGGATCCGTGTATCCAATCTGCACATCAGCCAGGCCATGCCTGAGAGAGGAGCAGCTTCATGCAGCTGAGTACAGAACTTCCGGTGGAGTGTGGAAGTCGTTCAGCACGTAGCGCATCTTACAGCTCTGGAGATAGAGCTGAACTCCCTCCCCCGAGCATTCGGAGTCAATGTCTAAGAGGTCCAGAGCGAGGTGTGCCAGTCTCAGAGCGCGCTGGACGCAAGCATTGCAGGCGGCCTCGTCCATTTCGGGGTTGCACACGGTCCAAGCACTGCCGCCGGTGGCAAATTTGCCCCGTCCAGGAATGGGCCATAAACTGTGTCGACCGGCAGTGTCAGCAAGTTGGGCGTCAGATTCCAACTGGCAGCTCCATCGCAGCAGCTTCGAATTGGGGTCTCCGTAACATTTCCCAGCTACGGTCACAATGAATATCGCAGTGAACAGAGCAGTCACCACGTTTCTGTCCATTTCCCCTCCCATGTTCTGATTTCCAATCCCCGAAACTATGTTCTGCAATCAAGGACCGTGATCCACACAATCAGATTTTCGTCGTTAAATCCTCTGTTCTGAAGCCTCGCTGTAACAAAGTAGTCTGCCTCTCAAAACCTCAAACAAATCATAAGAAACAAGCACGCTTTCATGCTCCACAACGGAGACAATTTACCACGAGAAACAGCCACCCCCGGGCCTGCACCGCCGATGGTTTTGTCGCTTGAGGTGGATGAATTTCAGCTGAGTATATGCAGAATCTGAGCTCGTGTTTTCTGGGCAAACTGCCATTCAGGATCTCGAGGTCGGAGTGCAGCTCTTGCTATGAGTCGGATGCCAAAGGAGATGGGGGGCGGAGGGGATTTAAGAAGCAAGATTCGGGGGCAGAAAAGTACGACCCCAGGACCTTGAGAAAAGTGTGAGAAGGGGACGTATCGCCAACGATGGATAAACGATGGGCTGCTGATGAGGAGCTCATTTGGTATGATCGTCGAAGTCGGTGCGGGGGGTGGGGGGGGTTGGGGGGCTGGCTCCTCTTTGCATGTCCATGCTGTAGTTGGTGAGGTGGAGTCAGGGGCAGATCGAGGCGGCAGAGTCATCCTGGATCGTCTCAAATGCAATGCAGCTGAAGTGGACATACGAACGACCGCCGTGACTGTACAGCGGACAGGGTCTCCCGACAAAGTACACAATTCCAGTCAACGTGCCCTCGAGGGTGTGCCTCGAGAAAGATTTGTCTCCGAGCTCACGCCGTTCATGCCGTTGTCACCTGCACATGTCACAATCTCCATTCATTTCCTGTGAGCTCAAGCACTTTGGCCTCACACTCGCAGCTTCCTGCTGCTGCTGGGCCTGAAACGCATGACGTTCTGTATAGCCAACCGAAGTGTTGCCATAGTGTTGTCCACTTGCAATGGTGGCAGACAACTCCGTTCATATGTCAGACGAGAAGGATATTTTGTCATGGCCAGAGCCAGAGCAACAGGATACTCCTGTGACGAGCGTTTTCTGACATAGATCCGAAACCGAGCAGTCGACAGGCCTCCAACTCGTGGTCATGCCCATCTTCTTGCAGCTTTGTGAGTGCACATACCAAGCTCATGGTCGAGCACGGAATCGCCATGTCCACGAGCTCTGTTTTTCTTTTGTGCTTATATAATCCTGTACACTGTATCGTCTCCTACGCCATTCTCGTCCAAGCTTATGATATCAGAAGTCCAACCTCCACCGACACAGTGCGCTCCAGTTTTGATCCTCGTCTTCACGGCTATTACATTCGGCAGTAGGCATGTCATGCACTTCCGGAGTCGAATTGATGTAGGAGGTACTGAAGGGACAGACACTTGTTTTTGGTCGTTCCTAGGGAGTAACGCTCGTCCTCGTCCAAGCAGCTGGAAGGTCTACTTAGCCAAGTGATGGTTGACAACTCCATTCCATCAATCCCACATTGACCGTCTGCTGCAAGGAAGCCAGAAAGAGAAACCTTGTCCTGCCTCTCGGACGAATCTTTGCTCTTTCTAGCTGCTTTGCAATGGATATTCTGTCAATGCATGTCAATCCAACTTCAACCGTTTAATGATTGTAGTAGCGATGCTTCCAGCTTTTTGGCTTCAATTTCCGGACGTTCCTGCCATGCCGGCAACGAAAGTGCAATTTTAGATTTGGATTGAAGCCACTACAGGCGAAGAAACAGCCTTTGACCACATGGAGCCGGTGTTCTTCGAACCATCAATCGAGTCGCAGGTAGTGAAAGACTGTGACAGTCAACGCTGGTTTTCGATACCCTCGTAGAGGCTAGGTTTCCAGCGTGCATTTTTCTCTCCACGTGATCCGATGACCCGAGGGACTAGTTTAAGGTGCCGAAATTGGAAGCACGAGAGCTTCACAGAAGTGCGCAGTGAGATCCGGTGACACGTTTCCCGAACCTGCGGATATGGAGTCAACTGTCTGCAGTGTTCATCTCATAAACAGATGTGAGACGTAAGAGGCACAAACCTGCGCTAGAATGTATCTGACGAATGTGGACTTGGTTCATCAGGATTGAAAAGAAGTCAACTGTCCGGACCTGGGGCAGGGAGTTGTCTTCTCTCTTTCACACAAGAGATCCCCTCTTCCATTCGGATGATATCGCTTTCCTCGGTCGTATCCTTTCAGGTGCAGCTGCATCGATCTTCGATTGTTCCTCATATATTTCTTTGTGATTCTCATGCCACTTACACTGGACTGCCCTTAGTTTCCTCGTCCTCCCATCCTTTCCTGTGACGTTGATATTGTGCCTATCCCATTCCGGGAAATTCTAGCCATATAATATTAATCTTCAGCGGAATCTTTCAGCGGTTTGTGGAAAAAGCGATGAATCAATGACCGGATTGTCGACTCGATTAGATTCTAGAGCTGCTATCTATCTGCTTCTCTGACTTTATCAGTGCATTCAATCCCTATCAGTGTCCTTCGTGATTCGAGAACTCATGCCACACAGTGCAAGTTGACAGTACACCTCTTGCACTGTTTGGAGTCTTCTCACCTTCTTCTTCTGGTCTGTCAACGTCGCTCGAGCTGACAGAAAGCAAAGGCTCGGCAGTTCTAGCGACGACCATGCCCACGACCATGCGACACGACCATTACGTGTGGGATCGACTACCCAAGGATGGGTAGTCGATCCCACACGGAATGTTGGGTCTCGAGGATGAGCTTGCTTTAGAAGCGATCGGTCCGATGTGGAAAGAACCATCATCTTCATGAAGCCAGGACTGATGTGGCCTCGATCGGCGGGGCGGTCGGGATTGATTGCAGCCATGTTTTCTTCGGGGAACTGCGTTGAAGCTACAACACGGTGAAGAACATGAACAGAAGTCAGGGCAGGTGCACAGGCCCCACTCTGTGAGGCCTGTGAGGCCTAAGGCCTAAGGCGATCCCTCTCCATAAAGATCAACCTTCTTCGACGATGGTGCTCTTTATGCTGAAAATTGTCTTTCACTGGTCTTCAGCCTTCTTCCAACCAAAGGAAGGAAGAATGAACAATGTTATGGATAATCTTCGTTGTTATCCTCTCCTTTCTTTCTTGAGGCACAATTGGTCCTCTTCAAGCATTCATCTCCGTGCATTCCGCTGTGATGGAGGAAACCTGTCCATCATCCACGAGTCCATCATCCACGAGTGTCTCCCCCAAGAGGGTGCCCTGAGTCGAACATAATAGCCTAACTAAAGAAATCTCTCTCGCCGAGGCTACAACTTGGTGATCGGGTTAGGATGGACTAATTGATTTTTGTGCTCTTTGAGCTCGAAGGAAGTCATAGAAACGAGAGGTACAGTTTTGCTTGCTGTCGAGTGAGGCACTGATTCCGTTGTCTTTTCGTCAAGGCTTTTCAGAATCTAAAACGTCGTGGCAAAGTCAAGAGGATGATTCATCGGAGAACAGGGACGCACAGATTACACGGAATGATGTCCAACGATCTTAAGAAGGCCAGTCGTCGTAACTGGCCTTCTTAAGATCTGAGGCACTGAGGCTGCCAATGTGGACACCGGTGATGTTGCCCTCAATGATTCTTAAATCCGATTTCTGTAACAGCCTGCATGAAGCCTGAAAGAATTCAGTTCTCTCTGTAAACTAGTCAGTGGTAGGATTGAAGTTCCCAACTTGGTGTTCGGTAGATCAGGATCGTAATATTGCAATCCGTCATCTGTGATTAGTTTAAAAAAAATGCTCAGGCAAGAGGCATCCGCTGGTTCTGTAAAAGGCGATCAGCTTTAAAGGGCACACAATTGTCATCGCCACAAAATGCTGACCCCACGGATCGAAGTTCTCTTATCAATCTACTCCATGGTGAATGAGATATCTAGACTTCGCATCAAACGAAATTCACTCTGGCCGTGCTCGCCTTCGCCCTCGCCCTCGCCTCCCTTCCACCCGTCCTGCAGTTCTACTTCTTCGTCCTCGCCTCGAAACACATCGGGTTCGGGTCCAGAAGTACGTGGTCGACAGAGTTAGTTCTGAGCCTGTTGTCGGGCGAGTATTATGACGAGATGATGCCATTTCTCCACGTGAAGCGTCCCCCCATCTTCAGTTTTGGCCGTCCATCCGGCCATAAAATCAAGCAAGAATTCATCGGCCGCGTTCTGAACGTGAACTCCGACGACACCACAGCAGTGAAACCTTCGAGTTCTACGATCCTGCCCATGAGACCAAAGCCGATCCGATGGACACGAGCAACTTGAAGAAGCTCAGAGCCTCTCCCACGCCAAGGAGATCATGTTCTGTAAGTACATCAGAAACTGCAGGATCCCTTGTCAGTACCTGACCTACAGCCACACCATCATCATCTACGTGGGAACGGTGGGCAACTTGCAACTGCACCTGGAAAAATGCTCCTCGGTCCTGAACACTTTCTGCGTTCTGAGTCGAGTGTTAAACGACATGGACAAGGAGGACCAGTACATTGTCGATGACCTCAGAGGTCCCATCTCCTTTGTACGTCCATCAGAGATCTCTGGGTACATCTCAGCTTCGGGGAAACCATAACGAAACTCACTCCAGCGTGCACATTCGGATAGGATAGATACATAACGCTGTCCCGGATCCTGGTCAGGGACTTCGTAATTCTGTGAATGAATCGAGTCCGAAATCGTCGTAGAAGCAGCAGAGTCCTGATCATTGACGTCAGAACTCTGTACATACATCAAATTTGACATCATTGTGGAGGCGGATGAGGTGATAATGAGATCTCAAATCTTCATACAATACACCGAAGTCGCTCTGGCCGTTGTCGCCTTTTTTTCTCGATTCGCTTGCTCTCCTCTCCTCCTGCAGTTTTGTTTCGTCATCCTCTCCGCACAGAAGTTCGGCTTCGGAGTTAAGAAGCATACCCTCCAGAATTTCCTCAGATTCTCAGCAGGCGCTCAGATTGACAAGATGATGGCCTAAACTTTTGTCAACCTTCCACCAATCTTCAGTTTTAGTGACCCCTTAGGACACAGGCGAAGGGAAGATGTTTGAAGGCACTCTCTGACCATTGTTAGTGAAATCTTCGAGGTCTACGATTATGCTAATGCAAGAAGAGCCTATTGGATGGACACGAGCAAGCTGAAGAGCAAACACGAATCCTCTAACGCCAAGAAAATCATGTTTTGTAAGGACATCAGAAACTGCAAGGTTGGTATCCAGTATCTCTCCTCCACAGACACGATCATCATCTGCTACGTGGGGTACAGTCAACCGTCTGGAGCTGCCACACCGAAAAATACCAGTCCAGCATGAACACCTTCTGCGCTCTGAGACAAGTTTTCGTCGATATGGAGGAGGAGGACTTGTACACTGTTGATGATTTGAAAGTTCTGAAATGAAAGAGAACACATTTGTCCTGACATTCTGGATGAACTCCTCCTTCGAAGCACTATGATCATGTTTACCACACTGAGTAAAATACATATGCACAGATTACAGAGGAGCCGATTCTGGTGGACGATCAAATCCTTGTCTTCGAATTCGGAGGATAATGTGCTGCTGGAGGCTGGCGAGTCCCAGTAATAACCACCAAGAGGGGAATAGAGAGAAGTGTACATACAATATCAGGACAAAATCTCACCGATGCCTTTGAAGCCTCTCGGTTGCCGTGTGTCATGATTTGTGGATGAAGGTGAGGGGCTTAAATGCCCTATCTTTCATTGTAAGTCACTCGAATTGTGCATTTTTCATTTCATGTAGTGAGTATCTTACGCGTGTCCACTCGAAGCCTGTGTAGTTACTGTAATTCACTCAGTCAGTTTCAAGAGATTTAAGAAATATCAATTAACATTCTGATAGACTAATCGATAGTGATGTTCTTACTTGCTCATGTTTATTTTGGAATAAATTTCATACAGCAGTAACTCACTGGAAGTTACTACTATTCATGTTAGAGTTGTTCATAAAATTTATCCTTCGGTCTTGCTGATCTCATATTTTTTCATTGTGTTCCAGAATGATATTGCTGTTTACGTCGATGAGTTAAGCATTTGTCTAATTAGCTAAAGCAGATTATGAATTGCACACAAAATAACTAGATAGATTGAGGAAATTTTTGAGTTATGCTCTGCTACCTCATCTCCCTGTGAACATTTGATGATCTCATACGCATGTCACGATCTTATGGTCTCCCAATGCAAGTGAATGAAGTTTGATCATTTCCACAATTTGTCGTAATCTTAAACAGAATGCAATGTTTATAATAGTATGCTACGAATTGGGACGGAACTTCATTGACTTCTTTTACTAATCATAACAAAACACTCGAGATCCATTTGATATCAATTACTTAAATATCAGCATAGAAAAATCAAACGAAAATTTTCATAAATACATGATCAGGAAAAAAAAAAACCCATCAATTTGACTAAGGTAGATTCTCTGATAGCAATAAAGAATTCTATTGCAGGGTCGATGAAGAGCCCTGCAATAGAACTCATACCAATATGTAGAAGAAAGCCCCTTGACTCCATGTTGTTGTACACCACAAAACCAAAATTTTGTCTTACCATGACTACTTGACAGGATCCGAGCCGACAAAAGTCACCGTCGAGATTTAGTAAAGTTATCAAGCATATCCGTTCAAACTAATTTCTAGAGAGAACCATTCTTAGTTCAAAATTTTCAATCGTTATCCATTCGAAATTTATCATTATGATTCCGGTTTGAAAAAAGATACGTTTGTCTATACAAAACCTACCAAACATCATATCAGTTGACACAAAAAACGATTTTACTATTTCTTTTCTTAATAATCAGTATCAATGTTAACCAGACTATGTATATCCTCTGAAAATAATCTACAGAACACATAGACACAGAGAGAGTCAATTCCTGGAGTTAAAAATTGTGTCAAAAAGAATTTTTATCATCTTCCACATATATCATATGCCAAGTAAGTAGTTAAAGTAACTAATGTCAATCAAAATTAGGTATTAACTTAGTTAATTACTCACAAATTTAATAAATGCATGAAATATAAACTATCGTATTAGGAGGTTGAGGTCTCAAATCCATTTGGAATATCAAGTACACTATTTGAGGTATGATATTTACATTTTCTTTCATATTTCACTCGCTAATGATATCTAGAATGAAGTAATCAGTAGCTGTATAGAAATTTTTTCCCCGTATTCTATTCCTATTTGAGTTAAATTGTCTGATATATCTAAAAGAAAGGTGGAAATTATATTTGTGTCAATATCCACGTAAATCCCTTAGCTTTCACAAGCTTTATGGGGCTTTCTATATTTTTTGATCTGGTTCCAGCTCTTCTCAATAGAACTTTGGCTATCGTGAGGACATTGACCTCGTGAAAGGCTACGGGGTACTGGTGTTGAGTCGACATTTATTTATTCTCGAAATATTACAAATTTTGTAAAATTTCGGGAATAAATATGCCGACTTGAATCCACGAAGAGAGGATTGCTCCCCTTGACATTACGAAAGTAGTAAACAAGCAACTGAAAGAAGTCAACACAAAGTGGTGAAAGTGCTGACTCCATTCTAGTTGTTGCTGTTTCTCTAAAATACACCATCTGGCCTACGAGCCTACCCACACAAAACAGCTAGAACTTTGTAGCAGAGGCCAGTGTCATGATCGTCAAATCTAAGATTGAGCTTCGTATACGAGAGCAAATTGAGCTTTTGAATAAACCGAGGTTTAAGATACCACAAACCTCAAAGCCCGACAGCAGCCAATAAAGACCTTGTTATGATATGCTATGTTCAAGTTATGCAATGTTTCTTCCTATGCTCCTGAATATATAGACGACATGACGTACATCCCGGTGATGCCCTTTTGGGATAGCCCCAATAGCATCACGGCCTAATACTTGAGGGAGTATCACCATCCTTTATGGTATATTACCCTGTTTGCTTCAAATACACATCACATTTGCATGTATCAGGAGGACATGAGCAGTATAAGACAGAGTCATTTGCATCCCGTTTTCCTTTTTCATTTTCCTTAGTAAAGTCTATGGTTATATTTTTTTCAAATTCTGATATAGGTTATACATGATTCGATAATGTAATGTATACAATGTTTACCGGAAGAGATTGATTTTTTCCTCATGAAATGGACCTGACGTGCACGCTTTCCCTAAACATTCTCACTAAGGATTATTAAAAATGCTACTCGGTTAATCTAGTGAACACTCTTCTCGCGTGATTTCTTTAAAAAGTCGCAAAATATCGAAAGCATTGCGAAAGTGCGGAAACTTGTAAGGGGTAGTACACTCTCCAGTAGACAAATCATGATCTCATAAAATGCTATATCGGCTAGGGAATATGCTTTTCCCATGTGTGCTAATGCGACCGCCACTCTGACGTATTCCAAGGTATCCATCACGTCCGTCCGTCCGTCAAACCGTCCTTCTGTCCGTCCGTCTGTGAGCTCATGGACGTCGTGCGATGACAGGACCCGGAACACATTTTGCAGGCGTTCCATCGACGCTTCCCGTGCAGCAGCAGCAGCAGCAGCTTCCGGAGGACAGATCAGTGTGCTGTCGGGCTTTGGCCTCGATCGCTCATCGATCCATGGAAGCAGCGATCTCGACCGAGGCAGGGAGGGATCAGCTCGTAGACGCACAGGAGCAGTGAAGGCTGCTGTTCTTCTCGAGGTATCGCGAAGAAATTGATCGAAAACCTGGGTAGTTGGGGGTCGATCAGTGGGTTTCATGAGGATTTTATGAGCTCGGAGGGAGCGCGGGTTAAGGACGTAGATCAACAGGAATGGTGTGCAGTGTAATCGTGGAGTTTGGGCGGAGGAGGAATTGGCATTTCATGTTCGATCTAGTATCGGGGGCATGCTGAGGAGGAGGAGGAGTAGTTAGTCTCCCCTGGGACGGGCTTTCGTTGGGAAAATCTCGAGAGCCTTGAGGAGGCAGGGAATGATGATGGACATGGTGCCCAGGCCCACCAGGAAATGGGGCATAGCTGTGCTGGTGCTGTTATGCGTTTCGGCCATACTTTTCATCACCCCGTGGGTCGCTTCCACTGTGTTCTTCGCACCGTACGATAATTGGAACGAGGCAGGGCGATTCACTCGTCCTGAAAAGCAGGGCAATGTGACCTGGCTGTGCACCCCATCTGGGCCCTGTGTTGGATGCTCGCAAAGCGAAAAACAGGATCCGAATTTCAAGTGTAAACCTACGGGATATCATGTACCTCAAAAATGCGTGGAGGACATGGACGAGGTGAAGAATGCCAAGAAGCTTGCCGTAGGGAGCCCACAAAGAAAGGAGAAGGACGCAGCAGCAGCAGCAAAGACCGATGAGGACTCGTATGAAGATGGGGGAAGACGAAGGGCGCAAGGCCTCTCCGAAGAAGGGAAGCAGATGTACGTCTTGTACAAGAGTTGCCTTCCAACAGAGGTCAGGGAGAAACTCAGCGTTTTAGGTTTCGAGGGAGTGGTGCTGGGATTGTTGGCCATCAGCGCTCCTTTTGTCTATTTTAGAAAAAAGAAGGGTGCTGCTCCCGCGCCCAATATGCAGCGAGTTCCCAGCAGTGCCCGCTTTTGAGATATCCGAATTCAAGTATTCTTTCCACTTCTTTGTTGTCGTCCATAAACCTTCGAGGCACGGATGATTTTATTTTTTATTGGGGTGTTGATCCCATTGTAAGGTATATTTGTTTATGCCCCTTGTATCACTCTCTCAAAGGACACTGTTTCATCGTGTGAATTCTTGGTTGTACGATATTGAAGTGCCCCAATGTACCCTTCTTCCTGGAGACTACCAACAATGGCAGTAACATACAACTTGACTTGCTTCTGAACGAATAAATTTCACATGCACATCACGTGTGCTTTCTGTCACTGTCAGTAACACAATAATCACGCTACCTGAATCCGTTCTCAACGATAGTGTTTGTGGTCTATGTTTTGTTTGTGCCTTTGCTGACGTTCATCTTCCTGTTGAAGTTCAATCATTTGCAGCTTCACGTTCCTATCCTGTTTGATTACCCCTGAGTATAAGGCCTGCAGAGCAAGTCTCTAGGAAGAGTTCAATTTGACAGAAACCCCTCGTGTTTTCACAATGACGCAAGTTGTCATGACTCTGCCAGGAGAGACAGGCCAAATTGCACTTTCTGATCAGGTTAGAACTAATGATCTCGGGAAGAAATAATATCGGCGTTTCTTTTCGAAGGCCCTAATTTGGTTGACGGTATCTATCTTGGACCATACCCTCGAGAATGCATCTTCAGAGGGTTGCGATTGAATCTCTTTTCTTGTAGATCACAGGAAGTGCTTGGAAGTCCTGTTATTTTCATCTGACATCTCTGGCTAATCTAGAGCTGGTTGTCTGGACGCACGTCTTCTTCCTAGTCTGGGTGAAATCACTGTTTGCTTCTCTCTGTGTTTTTCTGTTTCAACCGACATGGCTAATTACTACTTTCACATGGAGAGTGCAGAGTGATGTATTCGGTGAGATGAATAATCTCCCACCGCCATGTACATGTTATATGTGTCAAATACCCTCACAGTCCAGACAGTCGGTGAAACTACTAAATCCGTGTATATCTGTACCCCCATAAATGAGTTCTACGCGAATCAAACGTGTGGATCTGCAGAGGACGGCAAGAAGAAGTGAAGTAGCCCAAAACGCTGGCACATGAAACAGATGCAACCCCTGTGAGCAGATTCAGTTTATGGAGATGGTAAACTCGGACTATGAAATTCTTAGTTGGGTTTTCATAAGCATTGCACGTCGTGTTCGAAGTTCCTTTTTACCGTATCTGGTTTTGTAAAACGTGAACGACACCAAATTCAAGCGGAATTCTTCTTAATTATGTGAACTCGGTCAGAGGACGAGTCTGCGTGAACTTCTAGTGCGAGCAGCTCATACACAGAATATGAGATTGATAGGGATTACTACTTCGAAAGCCCAGATTCTCATTTCCAAAAGAAAGGAAGTCACGATTATTCGCCAAATTCACTTCAAAGTGATTCCTAAAGTGAAATTCAATATTCGGCAAAGGAGGAAGAGAACACATTGTTTGCAGACACGATAAAGAAGTTTGAATTTAGTCTTGTCAACGAAGATCTTGTACAAAATCTCCCTTGAAAACTGGAAATTATGTACAAATCTGGAAACATGATGCATGCATTGATCAGTCTGAAGGATTGATTGATTGGCTGTCTGAGCGAGATGTCTGGCGAGATTTTGTCAGCTCACTCGTTGGGTATCATAATCCATCTGGTTGACAGACATACTTGATGGACTCTGGTCCACAACTTTTCCACGGTCCAAATCAGCGTTCAAATGTAATTGACTGAAATACCAATTCTACACAAAGATTGAATAAAAAAAGACACAAGAAATGACAATTGTCTCCGAATTTCTTGTCCTCCGTAATTGTACACTCTATAGGAGGAAATGTGTGTAACCGACTGAGAATCCAATTGTGCACAAAGATTGAGCGAAAACAACACCAGAAAGAAATCGTTGTTTCCAGGAATCCTTTAGCCTCCTTAATTGTACACTCTATGGGAGAAAATCGGTGGAGGACGAGAAAAAGAGACTCCTTCACCGTGCAGAGCAGAGGAATCTCGAAGAGGACATGGATTGATAGTGTCTGAATCCGGCCTAAGGATCGAAGGCTTCCGGAGGAGGTGGTATGAGCTCAATTCCACGAGTATCCAGCAGCTGAATAAGAACGAGATAGCCAACTCCGAGCAACACAGAAATGGCACCAGTGATCAGCGCTGTATTTTTGCCCCTCTGCACTTCCGCCCTAGCAGCGGCCTTTTTGTCCACTGCCGGTCGACTCTTCTCTGTTCCGCTCGTTTCAGCAGCCGAGGGAGTCTCGACATTGCCTCCAGATTCCTCGTCGCCCACCGCCCTTCGGAACGAACTAGAGTTCTTCTGCCTTCGACCAAGAACCTGATTCAGACGGAGAGATTTCACTTCGGGCTTGGAGCAACGACCGATGGCTACGGAACGCTGAGCCCCGGCAACCGCGACGCTGAATTCACCGGCGCTTCCTCTCGGTGGCAGAATCAAAGCCTGATGCGACAACCTGCAGGCCATGGATGCCATCGCTGCTGCTGTCTCTCGACAGTGGAATTCAAATCCTTTCTTCTACAATGTGACAGGGCCGACCGCGACCTGCGTTTGAGAAGCGACCAAATCCGGCCCCACTTCTCCTCTCTCCTCTCCTCTGGTGGGCCCTGCAGCCCCTGCTGCCCCTGCTGCTGCTGCCATTCCTCGGGGCTCGAGTCACGCTCGCTTGTACCACACGTGACATCATCTCCTTCTATCCGTTTGTTGATTGTGTTGTGGATCTCATACTTGCATCCGAAATGTCAGCAAAGAGGTCGGGGGATGCCTGAAATTCGGCCATCCGTCCAAGCCAACCCTTCGCCTGCATTCTCCAGATTCTGCTTTCTTTTCTTCTTCAAATGCGGGTTTAAATATTATGTCAGCCGGCTTTTGTCACTATGTTACCATTAGAAACTGGCACGGAAAAGTTCTGGCTATGCTTTGGAGATATGGAAGAGGTATTGCCGCTGTTTAAAGTTGAGGAATTGGGATGGATGATGGTCATCGGTAGAGAAAGCAAGTATTTATCTTCCCCCTGTTTTCTTCATCGAATGAGGTCGACGAATGAGGTCATTCTCTACGGCCTTGTCGTCTTCTGTCTGGCAGGGCGTGCCCTCCATTTCTAACTCCAACTCGGATCAGACGAGTTATGCCAGTCCCGGAAGTAAGTCGAACAAAAACTGGCAAAGACATTCACAGCAGACCAATCAGAACCTACACAGCCGAGTAAACTGATAGATATGTCGGGCACAGAATTTTCGTGAGACTCATATGAACGGGCTGCAGATTGCAGAGCCTAGACAAAATGCACCAAGCAAGCAAATAGTTCATGAGGAAGAAAATTATCATCTTAGAGAACTTACTTTGCTCGCTTCAGCAGACACTGAGGCCGCCTGACAGAAATTACTTCTCAATCGCCGTCTTGCGTGGGACTCCAAATTGCTCACTAATCAGATGTATTTCACGACTAGTTACGACTATCTTGATCTTAATCATATCGTGTAGATTGTTGTACGTCATGTGTATCATTGCTGTACAAAGATCTGTGTCAATACAATCCACTAGTTACAATAGCAATCACTTCAGATTATTCTTGAGATGCTCCAGTTGAAGGTCTTGATGATTAGGAGGTGGACATGTTTCTCAGTGTGATGCTATTGTGGCTAGCCACAAAAGGCTCTATAGGTTCTTCGCATCCTTTTTTGCTATTTTAGTCGGTATTATTATTTTCCCTTTATTGCTAAGACTCTGGTCAAATTATATCGGCATTATATTTTCTTAATCTTGTTGTTGCCGAATTCAGCATTACAGCGTGTTATGCCAAGGAGTCTTTTCTATCAAAATCTTCCCGTGAGAGATTCAAATGACAAGCGAGTCACAACAACGTTTCCTTGTTTGAGAAACGGGACATTGGACAGCATAATCTACGACCTCTTGAGTTTTCTCAAGAGTACTTTTGGTGTATGTTACACTAGCTAGTTCTGCTCTACCAAAATCAATGTAATTTACAATGCATTCCGTATCGCCGGACTTGCGCCTTGTTCGATCGAGTGGGAACAGGAGAGAGGAGACCGTGTCGATGCTCTCGACACCATCTTCACCCACCATGACTACCCATCCCATCCCTCTCCTCTCCTCTCTCTCTGAACTGGAATTTCAGCTGCTGTATATATATCTGGATACCTCGGGCCACACTTTTCCGAGCTAGGTGAATCCTGATAACTGACGGCTGGAAACCGATGCTGGCTTCGGCATTTCGAGCCACTCCCTCTGTAAATTATGCTCGTTTGACAGAGCAGTACCACCCTTGAATCTCCTGCAGAAGCTTAGCGTGCTCTAGCCAAAGTCCAACATCCGGGCACCGATGCTGTTCCACGATAAATTCGACGTGCCGTGGCCGATGGGCGAAGAAGAAGGGGCCTTCTCACTCACGATAAGCTCACGAGCTATCGCAGATGGCATTCAAGAGGATGTGCACGAGCATGAGGTCCACGAAGTACTGGTGGCCGATCTTTCCATTCACCCAGGTTGTATTAGACGGCGCTTTGCCGTAGTGAGCGCCGTCGTTGTGATCGTTGTCGTAGTGCCAAGGGAAGGTCAGATCGAACCCGTCCACGATGCGCATGTTGGCCAGGCCGGTGCCCTGGAGCTTCTCCACCATGAACTTGTTGAACCATTCCATCTTGTGAGGATTGAATCCTCGGGCTCGCGACTTGCCCCCGACCGCGATCGTGGTGCGGTACACAAGTCGAGGAGATTTGGGAAGGATGCCGTCGAGAACCGATTTCCAAAACTCGATCGCCACCTGCAGGCCTTGCTGCACGTAGAGCATGGGACTCGGCCAGAAGCAGCCGTCGTGCAAGCCCGAATTCATAATCATCACGTCGGGGCTCTTGTCCTTCTGGAAGTAGGCCCTCATCGCCGCCCTGAACCGCTCGCTCGTCAGCGCGAACAGGCCCTGGTAGTTTTTTATGATGTCGGAATGCCCATTGAATATGTTGGACATGCGCACCGACTGCTGCTGCTGCTGCTGGGGATCGGAATTATTCGAAGGACGGACGTAGTCGCGATCGGTCCCGCGAGCCATTTTCGGCCCAACATCGAGGCCGAGCACGAAATTCAGAAGGTTGCGGGCGGTGTCGAGGTTGTTGGAGTCCCCCCACCAGAAGAGCCACTTGCCGTCCAGGCACTGCCAGGCCTCGTCCTCCGTGAAGAGCTTGAAGCTGCAGTGGGCGGAATACGACCACCCATTGCTCTCGAGGGCGTCCAGAGGCCCCTGGCACCATGGCTCGCGGCATCGAGTCCCGGGCGGCAGGCAAAGGAACCTGCCGGCGCCATCGATATCGCACTCGCTGTTGTACTCGGTCCGCGTCCATCTGCCGCTCCACTGCTTCAAATCGTAATCCTCCTCTGCGCATCGGTCGAGCCGAATCTGAGCCCGAGGCGCGTCGGGCCGCTCGACGAATTCGATTTCCTGCACCAGAACCTCGTCCTCGCGCATCCACGGATTCAGATCGTCCACCACCAGCAGATGCATGCCGTGGAAATTCGCGTACAGCAGGCTGATTCTCAGCGTGTAGAGCCCGGCGAATCGGGGGTCCACCTGCATCCGAGCCGAGTACGTGCCGTCGCCATTGTCCACCACCGGAGGCCGCGATTTCCAGAACTCGCTGCTCAGATCCGTCTCGTAGAAATCCCCACCCGCGCAGCGCCTCGAGCCGTCCTCCGCCACCGACACGATCCGGAACTCGACGATGTCGCCCGCCACCAGGCGCAATGGCCGCCCCTCGGCCTCGGGCTGCAGGCCCTCGACGAGGCCCGTGTGCGTGCGCACTCCATGGCACCGGCGCGTCCCATTCGCCTCGATCTGTGCCAATCGCAGCTGCGTCTCGTTCGCTATGACGGGGAACTGCACCCACTCCAGCTCGTCGCCTCCCTGTGACATGTAGGCACCGATCAGTTCCAGCCCTGCATCCTGTCGAGTGGGACGGCAGCTGCGATCGATCCGCAAGGAAGCGAAACCACATTGCTAGGAACGGAGTGGGATTGTTGGGCGACAAGGGGTGCTGCTAGTGCAGCAAACGAAATCACCATCCGGATTCTGCGACAGAGCTCTTCCGATGGCGAGATTTCTGTGGTGCTGGAATCGGCCGTCGTGAGGGAGAGAGAGAGAGAGAGAATCAGAGGTGGAGGAGTTGTGAGCGGTTATCGTCGATGCATCTGGTGCCCTGTTAAGAAATTGTGTGCTTGCGATCGAGCGTGCGTGCGTACCACAGAAAGGAAGGACGGATTGACACCCACCGAGGGATAGATCGGTGGTGATGTTGGATGATGACTCACATTGGATCTACCGGAGGTGCGAATGGTTCGGTTTGCTTCGTTCGGACTCACTCGCCAGCGGAAATTGTTTGCCTTCGTGGGGGAGGAGGATCTCATGTAAGGGTGGACGGCCGACAGGTCCAGCTCGCTCAGGACCAGAATCAGGGCTCCCACGAGAGCCAGCGGCATGGCCACGTTCAGAGCCCGACTGGCAGCGCTACATTTCCTCTGCATCGCGACGGGATCGCTCGAGATCAGCTTTTTGCTCGGATCGATGATCGCCTTCATCTTCTTCTGCGAGCCCATCGTCACGCATTTCACAGGCTGGCAACCGTCGACCACATTTCTCGACAATTGACGACGCTCTCTGAAGAATTGAAACTCGTCCGCTGCTCTGGCTCGGATCTCTCGAGTCGATACTCCATGCACTTTTGAACCGCGGATTCCCTCGACTTCCCTCGCAGGTCGCGTCGAATTGTGGTTTTCTCGTGCGCACGAGCGATGAGCATGCTGCGAACCGAGCCCACGTCCGGCTGGTGCTGCGACCTCCTGTTGGCTTCTGTGGTCTTCATTTACGCTCGGGTCTATTTCCAGCGCATCCTCTCCCGAAATCTCCCGGTCCTCCTCCTCCTCACGACGCGGTCGAATTCCAAACCGCGCACGAAAGCCGGATCTCCTGCGCTCTGTAGCCTCCGCACGATTCGGGGCATCACCGAGCTTCTCTAAAGGCCTCCGCCGTCGTCTTGCGCAGCACTATCCGCCGGGTACGGCGGGGCTGACCGAAACTATGGCCGATTCGCTCCACGAATCGATCTGAGCCGGCACGAAGTTCGTATTCTCCATCTCGTCCAATTCCCTCTTCCCGGAGAGCCAGAGTTTCCGTGCAGATCGATTATCGCAAGCGGTAATCGCTTGTGCGTTCCAATTCCCACGTCCAGTTCCAGTGGCGAATTTCACGACGGATGCTGGCTCGTTCACGGATCGAAGGAGCCGCACGATCTACGCACGCGGAATCTTCCCAGAGCAATCGACGTATCCGAACGGGGTCTCGCCATCTCTTCAAGAACCGGCGACGGCAAGAAGATTACGCACATTTTGAATCCGAATTCCAAATTTGTTCAGAACTCGCAACATGGATCACATTTCCCGAACCTGCTGGTCGTGGTGCAGTTAGAACGTAGGAGTAATCCCTTGCCGAGGAAAAAGAGCACAAGAACAATCAGCAATCCTCCGACTAGAGCCGACTGTCCGACACCCACGCCTCGGGAATCAGGCGCATGGAGGATGGGGCATGCACGACGAGAAAGGCCGGTAGCTACGTACTGTTGCATGGAAACAAGACTACGAGCTCTATTGCTTCCATAGCCACTGCAACGACAATTGGGGCACGGGCCCAGCACCTTGAAAGAGCACTTTCCCACTTCGATACGCGTTTCAAACTGCTCACTTGTCGCCCCAATGGTCAGTTTGATTCTAGAGGCGAAGATTGTTACGTTACTCGCAGCAAATATTCCCTTTTCACGATGATTGATGGACGGATTTCAGAATTCTCGACCAAAACTTTTACATGACATGAAATGTATATGTATTTTTTGACATACTAGTTTAAAATAGACAATTTGTACAGTATTTTTGTATAAATTAATATTTAGTGTTATTCACTTTAGATGATAAGAATCATATGCTCTTGTTTATGTATAATATTTTTATTTTAGATAATGTCTGACTATTTCCGATCAATACTGTTATGTACTACATCTACTTTTCTTGTGGTTTTTTCTCTATATTAGACTTCCAATTTCACACAACTGCGCTAAATCTGAAATTAAAGTCAATAGAAGCAACCAGTAGTGATTCAAGAGTCAAATGATGCAGAAGCTATTAATATCCACCGTGAATCTTTTGACTTCCTTGCTCTTTCATTAGTTTATTTGGTTCATGTTTAATAACTTGTACAATAGGTTTTTCTTACTTTGTGTATATCATTCTAGGTATTGTGTTTATTATAGTTTTTTATTACTTGATGTATATCATTCTAGTTCTTGCTTTGTATCCTATGCATAATCTTTGTATTGAGTACCATAATAAATTGAAGAATTTTTACACATTTTTATAATCAAATCTACATTACGTTCAACAACACATAGTATATTTATATATTTTGATATGAATCTTCATAACTATTCCATTGCAAAAATCATGCATATCAAAATGAATTTAAGTTTATAAATGTTTCAAAAATGTGTTATTTGGTTACAAAAAATAACAAATTATATAAAAAACCTGTGTTTTTTATTGTTAAATGATATGATTTTGCTGCAAAATTTTCAAATAATCTCGTTGAAGAAATATTCATTACGATTTAAATGAATGTCTTCAAATTTTTCCAAAAAAATGTGGCTATACTTCTGTACATAGGTTTGAACAATTTTTTATGATTAAATCTATCAAAATTTGTCCAATTTTTTAATTTTTTAAATCACAATCATCATAATTAATGACATCATCCTTGTACTTTTATATCAAATATTTGTTAATTATTTCAATATCTCACATTTGATTGTAAACAAACCTTCTCATCTACATTTTAAGTTGCATCTTCAAGTCATTTTAAACAATCAAAACAAGTAATTTGTGCAATTAAACAACAGTAATTTGATAAATGAAATCATAGAATAATTATTTAATAAATAAAAATTAATTTAAATAAGAGTTGAACTTATTATATCAAATTAATTATATATAAGATAAATATTATTTAAAATAAAATTCAATCACTTATTTATCAACATTTTCATAACATTGTAAGATTTCTTACATCAAAGCACAAATGTAAGTATCATCAATACATCAATAAATTTGAACTTATCAAACATTTAATTTATTTCATATATTTTTAAAATAGGTATTTTTTGAGATTGTAACTATTCTTGATGTTCATAATACATTTATTCTCCAAATTATTGTTTATTGCAAATGTCATTCAATACTTCAATAAAGACTTTGAAATAGTATTTTTTTTCAAAATACGTTCTAAAAAATCAAATCATTTAATTACACAATATCTCCAAAATCTTTTTTTAAGCTTTTATTCATGAAAAAATAAATAAATGAAGCTTTTAAAAAATTTAACAAAGCTTTTATAACAATATGCATTTTTTGAAATTTAATCATCCATAATTTGATATAAATACTTGTTATTGAATGTTTTGCAATTTAAAACAAAAAATTACATTTTTCATATTAATATTATTTACTTTGAAAAAAAATTAGTTAAATGAATAAAATATTAATTTACGAACATTTATTACGAAACCAATGATTATCTTATTGATTTATTTGTTATCAGCCTTCAAAATTTATCATAGCAATAGTTTTATTATAACTGGCTATAATTCATAATGTACTATTTCAAATTAAATCTTATTTTGATTAAACCTCCATTGACTTGCAAAAATATTATCATATGAAATATTTGTATTAATATATTGATGTTGACAAAATTAATTAAAAAATTAATATATTATGAAATTAATCATCAAATTTTATATGAATTTAATTTTAATGTTTTATTTATTTAATAAATAGAATTCATATAAATATTTCTTTTTAAATTTCTTCATTGAATTAATACCCAGAACAAAAGTAATTCTACTTCTGGTAATATTTTTGTCTACACGTGCTTTCAAATAATGTTCTGCAATAGCTAATATGATATAAAAACAATAAGAATCATTATGTAATATGTTGATATCGCAAATATCTCTAAGATTGAATATAATGAGATGAAAAAACGCTGAGTGATTAGAAATTATGATTTGATATAAAATAACCTTTTGAATATTGATGCAAATACAAATCTATAACTAATGACTTGATGAGTGAAAGAAATACAATTTTTGGTTTTTTTATTAGATTGAATATGTTATGAAAAGATTGATTAAAAACTATATGATTTTAAAATGTGATATCATCAAATAGATTTATTATCATTCTTAATTTTTTCATGATCTAAAAAAAAACATAACTGATGTATCATTGATACAATACATTATTAAAAAATTAATTAAATTTTTTTATTACTATTTAAATTTTAAAAATATATTTAATACAAGATTTGAATTAGTAAATATGATCTTGATTCAAATATTTTTATATTTTTATAAAAAATGGAATATTTTTTCATAATATATACAAGTTGACAAAACAATGTAACAACTAATTGTTTGTTACAAGTGTTGACAAAAGTATTGTTCTGAACTTGAGGATAAAATAATGAAACCCTTTTTTACATCATTTATGTCATGAGTATTAATATATTTTATATTATTTAGTTATATATAAATCAATTTGATCTGATTTTGGCCTCAAAATATGATCAAATGATATCACTAACGTTCATTCATGACTATTGGATCAGTAATTTAGTTTTTGTTCATGGAGATCTGGCAATTTGTTACTGAAAAAACTTAAACAATATATTATATTTAAATTTATCTAAAAACATTAAACATAACATTAAAATGTTGACATAAAATATTTCTAGTTATTTTATTACGTAAATATCTTAAATATAATACTCAACACCACTTAAAATATTATTTAAAAATCTAAGAAGTACTTTGAAGGTTATATACTAAAATCTAATTATTCTCAATTACAATTCAATTTCAAAGTTTGGTTTTTCTTCAATCTAAATAAACATTTGTCAAGAATTTAGAAAAAATATTCATAAATTGTAAATGATTTTCATAAATTTAAATTAATACCTATATCTGAACGTGAAATCAAGAAACCATCGAAGCCAAGCGTTAACACAATAGACACTCGTATAATGTGGTTCACCTTCAAGGGTTTCGTCCACGGTAGACACGCGAGAGAGTTTACTAACAACTCAATACAATGCGCATCGAGTAGAAATCTTGGAGGTATATATATATCCAAATTCAGCGACACACCTAGCTATAAATAGATTTAACCTGAGGTTACTACTTAACCGGAGTTAACCTCAACAATCTTTCCCTTTACCCGTGTTGAAGAAACAGTAACTTTAGTAACCTATATTATTACTCAGCGAGAAGTTGTAGATAGAAACTTAACACAAGGTACCTCCTTACACGAGAGTTAACTAGAATTAGATCGTAACCATAACATGATAGAGTAATAACATAAAGAGTTGACTAAAAAACCTGCTTGACTAAAAAGATTAGAGATCTTGTTATCTATATAATTACTTTGCAGAAAGTTCTAGAAGGAAACTTAATACAAGCTCTCTCTTTACACAATAATTAACTAGAACTAAACTGTAGCCATCACAAGATAGAGTAAATATATAAAGAGATAACTGAAGTTACTATTCTAGCAAATTCTACATTTGCTCTCTATGCAAAACCTCCATGGTAGCACAATGTCGCCTAAAACTTTCCAAAGGAATAACTTTGGTCAAAGCATCAGTTAAATTGAGTTTACCGTCGATCTTGACTAGCTCAATCGTTTTATCAAACACTGCTTGTTTAATAAAGTGATACTCATGTTGATGTGCTTTACTCTACTATTGATGACCTGGTTCGCAACCAAATGTAAAGCATTCTTGCTATCACAATGAAGATTAACCGAGCACTATTTCAATTCATTTCCATGATAAGCCTATCCAACCAAATAGCTTACTTTGCCGCTTCTGCTGCTGTCACATACTCAACTTCCGTTGTTGACTGAGCTACGTATTTCTGCAAAGTAGACCTCCAACTAATGCTTCCGCCGCCAAGCGTAAACACATACCCAATCTAGATAAAAGGAAATCTTGTAGATTTCATTTTATCTAGATCCAATTTGTAGTCACCATCAACATAACCAAATAAGGATTTTGCATTGTCTAATAGATCATCAAACTATAAGCCATAATTCAAAGTACTCTTCAAATATCTCATAATGCATTTCACTGCTTCCTAGTGAACTTTTCCTGGATTCAACATGTACCTGCTCATCTTGCCCATCGCAAAAGCAATGTTTGACCTAGTGCACACCATCAAATACATGAAGCTGTGTACGGCTTGTTCATAGGAAACACATGAAATTCTTCCTTTCTCCACAGCATCGGTAGTACATTCAGTTGCAGAGCGTTTGAAATGTGTTGCAAAGGAGTCTATACTCCTTTGAAATCGCTCATGTTGAACCAATCGAGTATACAACAAACATACTTGTCCTGACTCTACCATAGCCTCTTCTCTTCAAGATCCCTATGAACCTCCATGCATAATATTCTCTTTGACTCCCCCATATCCTTCATCTTAAATGCAAACTTTAACTTACTCTTGCATTTATCGACATCAAATTGGTAATTGCAAGGATGA